CTTTTTGTCTGATTTGATGTAGCAATGCTGTTTTCAGATCACAACAATTCTAAAAGTGATAGGATTATGAGTTGCACGAAGAACATAATTGTTAATACACAAGTTTTGTGTTTATATAATTCTTTTATTCCACTTACCCTTTTTCCTAATCCTTAACTTCCTAAGTAGTCTGGGAAATCATAACCAATGCTTGCTAATAAATATTAACAATTTTAAGTGTAAATATGATGTGAAAAAGATGAAATTACTTACTTTACTGCACCTGTTATCATTTGTTATTCATCTATGTGTACTTTATTGCACTAGTTGTAAGTGTTAGCATATTTACAATGTTCTCATAGTAGATTAAGTTTGTAAAGTTGGACACAAAAAAGATAGGTGATGCTTCATGTCATCTCTTATTTTTAAGGTTTAAACCCTCGGATGGTCCTCATATTTATGTGGGAATCTCAGTTGGGTCCTCATATTTGAAACTGTCTCAATTGGGTCAGAATATTTGTAAAATTGAACAAATCTAAACGGTGTCAAACTCTGATGACGTGTTTATGCTGATGTGAATTATTTAATTAGGTGAAATTTTTATTTAAATTAAAAAATTATCACATGTGCCAGCCCCTTCCCTACCTAAAATTAGGGTTTCAGATTGGGGGAAAGGGGCTTCTACTGTTGCACCGTCACGCATGCGAGAATAAGGTCTTGCCTCTTCTCCCCTACCGCGCCGTGGAGATTTATGGTTGTGCTTCTCTTTATTCAATTTCCTAGATGATACAGGTGAATCAAACTCATGGTGTAAATTAGTAAAGCTTGATGAATAGATTTTGCAGGGAATTTTCTACTGAGATATGAAGGTGCAGGCTTGGTGGTCACGTGTTGCGGTGATGATGAGATGACTGCGCAGGGTTCGCAAGAGAATTGGGGAAAACGATATTGGGTTTTGCTGTGTAGGTATGTGCGATAGTGGAGATGAAGGAGACGAACACAGTGATAGTGGTGCATGGTTGCGATGATTTGCGATTGGGTTGCGCTGTTGATGGTGGCTGTTGTCTGAGGCAAGGTAGGGGTTGTATGTATTGTGAAGAAGATGATGCGTTGATGGAGGAGAAAGAATTAGGGTTACGCGACGGCCTTGCAGCATGATGGTGGCGGCACAGTTGTGGCATGACGACAAAGTTGCGGCAGTTGCGGCACAGCGGCAAGAGTTATGAAATTAGGTTTTTTTGTGGAGAGGATGATGAGGTGGCAGTAAAAGTTATCACAAATATCTATTGTACTATACTAAATATCTATTAAGGTCCAATTTATCTAAATTTTAATGTACATAATGGTCAAGATAATATTATGTGATCCAACAATTATATGAAACATACTTGCATGTTTGCACTTGATGTATAAGTTTGTTTCACGTAAGTGTTTTGAACTTTCATGTGTTATGAATGTTTGTACGTTTTCATTCCACCCTTTGGATCTGGTGGCCACTTGAGCTATTGACTATTTATTTGCCGCTGGTTTTGATGAAAGAGGAAGTTTGGAATGTTGATGTTGTTCTGTCTTGTTTTTGCAGTCCCTAGTCAGGCTGCTTGAATCATCTGCTGGGAACAGTCTCTGTTACTCTTTGATTTTATTTCAAGACCTGCTAGTGTCGACAACTTTATCTCCTGTATGGTTTATCAGTACAATTTTTTCCCTTTCATTCTTAGAGTTATTTAAATATCACATAGCTAAGAGTAGTGCTCTCGTGCCTATATAGTCATTGATCTACTGCTCTGAATGCAAAAGCCAAAAAGAAATAACATAACAAGTTAATTACAAGTAGAATAAAAAATCAGCCACTGCATAATTGATTCAGAAAGGTCTAGCGTATGCAAGCGATTAAATATTCGAATGCAAATGAAAGACTTCTTAGTAGATTTTCAGTGAGATTAAATATTCGAATGCAAATGGAAGACTTCTTAGTAGATTTTCAGTGAGATTAAATATTCGAATGCAAATGGAAGACTTCTTAGTAGATTTTCAGTGAGTTTATTAATAGGATGGATGAACTAAGTTAAATTGAAACTATATCGACACATTGATCAATATCCATCTAAGCTATGATCAATCAATAGGAAAAGCGTTCAAAAGCCTGTCTTGAGACATTAATCTAAACCAACAGCAGCAGAAACAAAAATTAAGAGATTCTCACTCACATAAATTGTTCCGTCTAGCGCTTTGAATGTTTGGCTCAAGGAGTGGTCCACCACTTAGGGTTCCGAGACCTGCATCATGAGTTTGTTTCAGTATACCAATATTAAGTTTATTTAGATTCAAAGCATTCAACTCAAGACCTCAAAAGAAAACAAATGACGAGATAATATTTTATCTAAAATGATCCAGTAAACCTTTAACAACACCGAAAGCTGCTGCAACCCTGTTTTCTGATTTTTTATTCTTGATTTTTGATTCCTGCAATCCTTGAGTTCCGATCCTTGAATTGCTTGAACCATGAATCATGAATCCTAATCCAAATCTCAATCTCTAATTCTAAATCCTAAATCTCAAACTCTGTTCCTGAACCATAAAATCCTGGTTAGGAAGCATCTTGATTATGTTTCGCCTCTTTATCAAGAAAAGACGATAAAAGAATTTCCAATCATAATCCTTACATATCATATCATCTATATAATATAAAGAAAAGAACATAAGATATTTGGTATCTTTTTCTTTGAATGACATCTCAAGCAATGGTTTCTTAAGATATTTTAGTCAAAGAAATTTTTTGAAATTCATTAGTTTTTTTTCTCTTTATCATTTCCTTTTCTTAGTCAAAACTTTAAAACAATTTTGAACTGTACTTTTATAAAAAATATTTTATAATATAATATAGTTAAAAGGTCAAGTAAGAAAACATTAAGTTGTTATAAAATCAATCATGTATAAACTAATATGGATTTTGATTGGGATTATATATGTTTTTATTAAGTGAAAATTGGAATTAATTCTTTTTTGAAAATTTGATCCAATTTAGTCCATCAACTCTAGAAATGTGTATATTTAGTTATTTTAACCAAACTTTATTAAATTTATTTAACTTTTTAAACGTATTTTAGTATATCATTTGAGTTATTTATATTATTTAACGCATTTTTTCTTTAATGTTAATTGAGAAATGCATTTAAAACTTTAATTAAACTTAACAAAATTTGTTTAAAATGACTAAAATAATTCAAAATTTTGATGAGAGACTAATTTTAATTTTCACTTAAAGTTAAAGGACAAAAATATATTTAGCCCTTAAAACAATATAAAATAAACATAGAACTAATTCTACAAAGTGGATAATTAAATTTTCTACAAAATAAGTAAGACTCCAAAGTTGAAGAGAATCGATTTTGCTTGGCATTATCTGGATTGGATTTGAAAAAAAACATGTAATTTTTTTTATGTGGGTTAGTTTTCAACCTAGCTCACTTATAATCCGGCTCACACGTGTTGAATCCATGGTGAGCCAGATTGACTTACCAACCCACTTAATTTAATTTAATTATTTATTATTAGTTAGCATTTTTTATTATATTGTAGATGGGATAAAAAAAATGTTTCAAGAGAGAAAAATATTATAGATTTATATATTCAAGTCTCTAATATTATAAATGGACAAGTGATACAAAAATTATTAATATTAAAAACTTATTTGTTCGTCTTTTGTGCTTATTTTTAGATTATTGTATGATATTTTTTTATTTTGAATTGTCTTTGGAGTTTAATACATTTCAGAATGAAATTTATTTAAATTTGAATTAAAAAAATTATAATTTTATTATTTTAAAAAAACTTATAGTTAAGTGAGTTAGTGAAGCAACCTGTTTAACCCACCAACCCTAGTGGGTCAAGCCGGGTTCGAATTTTTTCAGCTTGCTAATAAATAAACTGGGTTGGATTGACTCATTAAGTGACCAATCCGTGGTGAGCGGGTCGGATCGAGTTAGATTACCCGTTTTGACAACTCTAGATACTACCATGCATTAGGAAAGAAAAAACCAACCATATATTCATAAAATATTTTTATATTATGTAGCTTTCGATATTTTTCTTCCAACACATATAAGAGGAAATAACTCACTTTTATTCCACATTTATGTTTCTAATTTTTTCACAAATCCACATATACGAACATATGTCCAACTCTCCTTTGTATCATTCTTATCACTAAAATGTTAAAAACAAACACAAACTTGATAGTTTAAAGCATACGCCAATGTTATATTCTATATAAATTATTTTAAAATGAATAAAGATTAAAATTATAAGTTAATATAAATTAAAATTATAACTCTTTAGTGATTTATTTTACAAAACTCGTTAACATCTTCTCTAACTTAACAACTTCCACTGAGGTAGGGTCAAGTTCAAGGTTGAATCATTTAGACAGTATCCTAGGATATTTGATGAAAATAATATCCAGTGACTTCACTTCCAATCCCAATCAAAGGAGTCTAAGCGGAATCAAAAGTTTTTATTTGAAAGGATTTCCTGCACTCATTCCAACTACAAAATGTCTACCACCCATACTTATATATATATATATATATTATTTTTTTCATTTATTTAAATTCTTTATTGTTTTGAATTGAATACCAGTGCATCAAATTGCATTTTGAACTCTAATTGTACATGTCCAAACATATTATAATGGATAATGTTATTATTATGTTTATATTGTCTCTTCAATTAACTATTGTTCATAGCAATCATTATTGCAAAAACATTTGCTGAAATAAGTAAATATTTTAAATAGATTTAATATCTTAAGAAATTAATAATTTTTTTTCTATCAAATATACAACAAATTCTTAAAAAACGAATACGAATTATAATTATAATTATAATTTATTTGTAAAATGAAATAAAAACAAAAATATCTTTCGTATTCATTATAAATAAAAATATTTTTTTAGCACTCATTTATAAAATAACGTAACACAGAAAGCATTGCTAATGGTGGTACTGGTATATGTAAAGATAAATTACATAATTCATGGAGGTTAAAAAACTAGGTACAGGTAGTAAAGTAGAGAAGGTAAAGGGAAATTAACTTAGCTGACGGTCTGATGTTGGATCGCAGTTGTGAAAATTGAAATAGTTGAAGTTACGTCTCAACTAGATTTGTTGAGAGAGAGAGCGGCGCAGAGAGAGGAGAACAGAAGTGAGTCACGATGCTATTCCGAAGATCTCTACGAAACCCATTTCTCCTGGCCTTGATTTCTCTGCATCTGCAACTCCTTTCGGGTATCTCTTTCTCTTTTCCTTGAATTTGCGTCTTGCTGTTAGGAGAGAATTCTATGAACGCTGATTTGAGAGTATAGAACAATTTATGATTTATAGGGTTTTCTGTGCAATAAAATGAAAGAGAACAAGTGTTCTATGTGGATATTCTGATAATTTGCATCGTTTGGTTATCACTGTGAACAAAGCTACCGAGGTAAAGTGCAGATAGTAATTAGGTTTTGCCAAGGAAATTATCTCTGGTGTTACGCTGATTAGGAATCCTTGCCGTTCATTTTGGATAGCTGGCTGCGTATGGTAGAGGACATGAGAATAAAATATTAACAGCTCTTGAAATTCCCCCTTTTACAAGTTAGTTAAATCTAGCAATTTAGCCTTTGCCCTGTGTTACTACATTTGTAACTTTATGTATCATATACCTGTGAACAAATTCTTTTAATCCATTGATCTATTTTAATTTCTTACAAGAAAGCAGGAGAGTCCCCTGCCTCTAATATCGGTGGCTTATGAAAATTTTGTGTCCTTGAAGGCCTAGACAACAACCCTTCAGATGCCAAAAATGAGAATGAAGATGTGAATCATCATGCTTCAAGAAGCTCTGTGGGGCTCAGGATAGTTATTATATGCCTTGGAATGGTGACTGTCATAGCATTCTGTGTTTTTCTTTTCAAATTATGGCAAAGGAAGAAGAGAGAAGAGCAGCATGCTCGTCTTCTGAAGCTGTTTGAAGAAGATGATGAACTTGAGGTGGAACTTGGTATGCGGGATTGACAATTTATCCCACTCCTTCTTTATAGAAAACTTCATTTTCATGTCAACAAGGCTGTGATCTTTTATCATTCAAATCTTGCATGGGTCATTTTGAAAAGTTAAAATGAGGCATTTGCTTGTCACCAGTTTGGTAGTCTCCTGGTTTAGCCCGAGAGATTTAGGGTTCAATTCTTGTCTTCTCACTTGACATGTGCAAGATGAAGCAGGTTTATATTTTATTCTTATATACTTATTTGTAAATCATATATATTCGTTTTAGTTGATGTCAATTAATAAAAAAATTATTTGATGTGAGTATCCAGTTTGAACTTTTTTTTTTATTCTATTGAAACTCTAGTGGTCTTACAATATTATTTCTTTAGAAATATCAAAAACATACTTTCTTTGAGATAAAGATGAGCTTCTTTGAGTAAGATACTTCTATCTCCAAGGAAGTGCTTGTCGATACCCCATGAAGATCATAACTTGAGTGAGCAACAATTTTTGGCAACAGTAGCAACAATTTTGGCGATGACAATGGTGGAAGCTCTGTAACTGTACCGGCAAAAGGTTCGGTGTTGGCTTCAGCAAAAACTTTGGCAACAACTCCTGTAGACGATGCAGCAGCAACAATAAAACCACAAGTTGGATTCACTTCAACCAACCCCAATATTTAAAGGGAATGGGTATAGTTCAGGCAATCTTAAAATCAACCATAACTAAGCAATAAAGAAGAAATGCGGAAGGACTCCCAAGATTGAGAGCTCTAATATCAACTTGAAAGGAATAAACCAAAGTAGGGCAAAGATCAAACAAGTAGGACCCTATGAGGGGTCATCCTTAAACAATAATTAAGCTTGATAGTAATTAGCTTACACCAAAGTATGATCATTACCAATTGGGTCGTGATTAGATTGTTGGTAATCTAAATTCATTCTGAAATCTATAAATCTAAGTTTGAGATAATGAGGTAAGTAATTGAATTTATTAAACATTTATTGTTGCGCTAACCAAATCTTTGTTGACTTTGATATTGGAATATTTTTTGTCGTATGACGGATATAGTAAGAATTCAAGTAAGAGAAGTCGAGATTAACATTAAAGACACACCAAATGCTCCCAGAACAAATAGCAGAGGGCATAAGCGGGTTCAGAAAGCTCTAATGAGTTAGATTGTGGTGGTCCAAGAAGATTTCGACCACAGAAAGACGCATGAGACACATGCACCTAGGACAACACTGTGTTTGGACAACATGTGACAATGGACTGAGGCGTAGGAGGACAAAATTCAATGGCAAACAGTGTCTAACGGTAACAGACAACAACGAACAACTACAAACAACAGTGGACATAGGGATGTCAATGGGTCGGGTCGGACATGAATAGTGCCTACACGCAACTCGACCCGTATGCAAAAATTGTACATGCAACCCGACCCGCTGGATACCTGCATAAAAAAACATGCGAATTTTTCAAACCGCGAGTACTCGTTGGATACCCGTTTTCAACATGTGAATATTTAAAAAATATATTTTATGAATTTTTAAATAAGGTATAAATTAAATTACAAGTTAAAGAGAAAATTTAATATATTTGCTACATATTAAAAGGGCACAATGTAATTTTTAAGCAAGTTAAAGAGAACAAATATTGAACAACTTTTGAAAAAGAAAAAAAAGATATCAAGAGTGTCAAGGAGAACACAAATAAAACCCTAAACCCAAATTCCAAAAACAAAAATCACAAAAACCTAGTCAGTGAAGTCTCAATTTAGTCATAGGATTAACCCACAAGTACCTATCAATGTATGAAATAGAGAGATAAAGAGTGTCAAGGAGAACACAAATAAAACCCTAAACCCAAATTCCAAAAACAAAACACAATCACAAAAATCTCCAAGCCGCGACAACCACTAGGGTATTCTCTTTCATGCAAAAATCAAATCTGCATCAACTAACTAAAATCCAGAAAAACTCAAAACATCCATTTGAATCCTAACCCTAAAATCGCGTCACCAATCAACAAAGAAGAAATTAAGAAATGAATTCCTAAAATGCGAATTAAAACGTACAAAAGAAACCCCAAAATCAGAGAACAAATAAGGCTCTAATTTCAAATCCCAAATCAGAACAAAACCCCAATCAAAACCAAGAGAGAGAGGAAGAGGGAATGAAGCCTACTCCCTGCAATGCAAGTTGATCCATAAGGAAGAAAAAAAAAACTCTCCCTTAAGCCAGAAAAAAGCTCTCCCTTAGGGTTAGGTAAGAAATAATGTAACACTTTTTAATAAAAAAAAAGATTGGAAAGGAATCTTAAGTCATTTTTTTTAAAATTTTCCTTTTTTAAGAGTAATAAAAAAAAGGTTTAACCCCTCCCTTGATCCTCATTTTTATATAAAAATCTCAGTTCGGTCCTCATTTTTTCATATGTCTCATTAGGTCATATTTTTTGTAAAAATGAACACATTTTACCCTAACCATTAACTGGTCTTAGACGGCGTTAAATTAAGGTCACGTGGTGCATAGAGAATGTGTTGATGTGTGTTTCTCATTTATGTGGAGTGTTTTGATTAAATAAACAATGGTGATGTGGCATTATTTACTTCCCTTTATTTAATATTTTTAAAACCAAGTTTTATTTATTTTTTATTTATTTTATAGAAGACTTTTTTTTTTAAGTTTCACCACCTACACGATATAAGGTGAGTTAGAACAGAGTTATTCTTCAGAATTAAATTAGTTTATTTTTAATTATTTATTTTATTTATTTGATAATTTTTATTTAATATTTTAATTTTCAAGTTTTACATAATATTTTAATATTATCTTTTTTCTTTAAATATAAATACATAAATATTAATTTTTATAAAAAACTATTTAAAATAATTTTTGATTGTAATAATTAGATATATAATTTTATTACTTTTGAAAAGTTAAAAATATAACATATATGTTGAATTTATTTAAATTTAAAAATAAAATATTTTAAAAAAAAATATTAAAATAAGTTATCTTTTATAAGTCTAAAAATTATTTATATTGGGATAGAATTGTAAAAATACATATTTTTTTTTAATTTTCTTTGTGTTTAAATGTTTTTATGAATTTATTTTGACAAAAAAAATTTTAAAAATTGTATATAAGACTTATTTTTAGTTATGAAAACTAAAATATAATAAACATATTTTAGTTTAAAAAGAAATGTTTTCTCTCATCTAAAACAATATTAAATAAGTTATTATTTTTATATAATATAAACAATTTTGTATATTAATATTCAATTAAAATATACATAATTTTATAAAAATTTTAAAATTAAAAAACTAAATTTAAAATAATTTAGTTCAAAATAATGACTACAAAATATAATTAAATTGAATTATTAATTAAATTAATATATTATCTTAATATATTTTTTTAATATTATTAAAATAAAATAATCAACATATAAAAAAATCATAAATTAACCAGAGAATTTTAAGACTTTATAAATATTTAATCATATCAACTTTTTAACAAAAATTACTTTTACTTCTATTAAGTTTTTTTAACCCAACCTGATTTAAGATTAAGTTTTATAAAATGAAATAATTTAACAATATTATATTAAAAGTACTAAAATAAATCTTTAATAAGATGTAATGTTTTGTCTTATGATAAAATAATATTATTACAGTCGGTATTTTGTATATTTTTTATTTATATAAATTTATTTTTAAAGAAAAGCTCAGAAAATTAAAAAGAAAACATATACTTAAAAAGTTTGTTTAATCGATTGATGTATAATAGTTAATTATTTATCTATATTATTTTTGTATGAATTTTATTAAAAAAAACGCTCAATGTAAATGAGGAACACACATCAGCACATTCTCTCTGCGCCACGTGACTTTAATTTAACGCTGTTTGAGATCGATTAGAGTATTTTTACAAAAAATATGACCCAATTAAGACAAATAAAAAAATAAGAACACTGAGATTTTCATACAAGAACTAATTTACCTAAAAACAATTTAATTTTAAAAAATATAAATTAAATTTTTATTATTATATTTTTCGGATATCGAATAACGCATCCTTTAGAAACGAATAAATATCCACGGTCTATCACCTTCAATTAATAAATATTCGCATGTTGCATATTTTATCTGTGAGCGTAAATTTTTTTTTCATCCCTAAGTGGACAGCAGATGACAGGGACATGGCGTTCAATGACGAATAGACCATTCTTTCGCCGAAGAGAGACCAGCAGATTTAGTAATAGCTTGAACTTAGGTTGAGGGAGAGGGGGAGAGGGGGAGAGAGGGAGAGAGAGAAGGAGAAAGAGAGGAGATTTAAGTATGAGGGATAGCAAACTCAATACCAGCATATCAAAGCAGAAATTTCACTGCTTTGAATCTTTTTTATTTTGACTACATGTAGCATGCATTCTACTATTGATGAATTCAAAATTATTAAGACATTTTCGGTTGTTTGCAGGCCAAGGAAAGCATATATGAAGATTATTCAAGTGGAATGGACTCCCCATGTAATAGGATGGATCAAATGCAATATGGATGGAGCATAAGCATCATACTCTGATAATGGACATAAATTAGCTTATGGTGGTATATTTAGGAAGTAAAGTGTAGAAATTAAAATGATTTAAAAGAAGTTGACTCAACAATACTTTTTTTTGCTTATATTTGTCAGGATGGAGTATCTATTTCTTCTGGAATGTACCCACTAAACTACTTACTAAGACCTCACTTATCAATTTCATAAGGCTCGTTAATAATTAATATACATATATGATACACAACAAAGAAAAATAAGATTATTCCATATTGATTAATGAAATTAAACAAGATTTAACCAATATTAGATCCTATGCCAAAACACCAATAATATTTTATCCGAATAAGTGCAACTATGCAGTGAGTTTAAATACCGAGTAAATGCTGATTGTAATCAACCAAATTGCTTATTAAGCACTACACTGAATGGGCTAGCGACTATTAACTTAGCTAGAGATGAATCACTATTCCACTATTAAACGAGACAATGCTTGAAATGGACAAAACAACAAATATACCTTAGCAAGAACAATTCTAAGAATATTTTTTTTAAGTAAAGGAAAAGACACTAAGAAAGGAGGCACGAGGGAGATACGGAGAAGACGTTTTTAAGTTATTGGGTTCCACCACTACTTTCTATTGCATTACTCACATTCATATCATTATCATTATATTATTCACCATTTATCTAAACACTTTTATTTTTCGTTTCATTTTTCACTTTTTTATTTTCGTCTACTCTATTTTTTTCCTCAAC